GAACATCCTGAAGACCTTCATTTGCATCAGTGTTCCTTGGACATGCAATATCCCATGCAGTTATGATTCTGCCTGGTGCGAGACTGCACTTTTTTTTCCGTGTCAGGACCTGCGAACGCAGATCGCCGCCTACCTCTATGGCATTTCTCCTCCTGACAACCCCCAGGTGAAGGAGATTCGGAACCTTGCTTGCAAGAGAGAGCAAAAAGACCGGCAGGAGGTCTGGTGCCTGTTTTGGTGCCCTGGGAGCCAGGTGCATGGTCATGGTGCCTCAGGTTGGCACGCACAGCCACATGACTGCACTCTCGAGCCTGGTTTCTTAAGGTTTAGGGTTCCTGGGTTTCTGGCGTTTTGGCTGCGTGTGACTGCGGGATGCAAAGGGCGAAGCTTTAGACTTGACTGGGCTTTAGTGTGCGCTGTGCAACAGGCAACGTGACACTGCCGCAACAGCTGCCCGACCATGATCACTTGCGTGACCTTGAGCCATTGGGCTGGATCCACACGTGCTTCAGCTGCAAAGTTGACATCTCTCTGACTGATCTGATCTGCCGCATGCTGGTGTCTGAGCTTCTTGCAGCAAGTCTTCGGTAATCTCCAACTATGATTACCCGAAGTGAGTCACGTGCTCGACTCACCTCGAACTTTGTTTGAACGCGCCCTCGATGACTGCATTAAACAGCTGAACAAGGCAGCCGAACGAGCAGCCGCACCTGAGTCCTCAGGAGCATCGGTTGCCATGTTTTGGCACTGTTCGGTACTGTTTTGGTATGCCATGCCGCTTTTGGTGGCGCTATGCCGGCATGGCTGTTGTCATGGGAGCAGCAAGAATAAGAAGGAATGACAGAGATTTCAATGAGTAGGGGTGAACGAGTGCAGAAGAATGAATACACGCAGCACAAATACTGGCGAGTACAGTTGAAATTGACGGGCAACTCAAGACCAAAGAATTGCAACAGGCACGACTATCACCTCCACTACCGTGAGCGCGCCACCCGCCTAGCAGCAACACAGCCAGCCCAGCACTGCCAACAGCATTGCCAGCGCTGCCATCATCTGCATGGCATCGGCATCAGCATTCAACAGGAATCGCATTAGCATTCGTGTACAGATGCCGATAAGTCGTTACAGGGCATTCTAGAAAACCATATACCGGGGATGCTTTCTGTTGAGGTGATTGTCAGTGCTCGAACCCGGAACCGATGTACTTTCTCTTCTGATGCAGGATGTCACCTTCCATGCCCGAATGCTGGCAGACAACAAGACGTGGCTGGCTGACCAGACGATCATCATTACCTGCAGCTTCACGCCAGGATTCTTGGCTGCGTGTCGCGATCCAAAATCTTCCCCGAAACTCTTTTGAGACAGAGAAACATAATACTGCTTGAACACAGGGAGGCTTACATTCATCCCGAATAGTAGCATCCCGTACAAATAAGAACCCGTGTATATGAATCCCTAATATTGCAAAACCGTGGAGCAATGTATCCAAGCCCGTCCAAAAAAATACAACCCTAAACCCCTAAACCTTAAACCCCTAAACCCTAAAACCTAAGCCCTAAACCCTAAACCCCTAAACCCCTAAACCCTAAGCCCTAAACCCAATACACCCCCCACGGCTGGAGATCGCAAGCTCTCGCGCCTCTGAGGCAGCTGCTCGCTGACGGCCTACCGCATTACGCCCCAGGGCTTCCAGTGGGGTAAGTCGAACAAGGACCCCGTTTTTTGCTTGTGTGGAGGGCTGGGGGTTTTGATTGTGGGCGTGTGTTAGGTTGGAAGGGCTTGGTTTCGGGTTTGGTGTAGGGCACCCTAAATAACCCCTTCCATTTTTTGAGGGGTTTGGGAGCAATGCAATACAAGCTGTGGGAGAGTGCTCCGCCGACGAGGACACGGGCCCCAACCCTGCGGGTTTCTTGCCCACCCACGCGGAGAAGGTGCAGATGCTGCTGAGCCCCTTGGCTTCGGGTGATTGGGGGATTAGAAATCCAAAACGGCGGTCTTTCAAGACATTCTTGTGGACTTCCCTTTAGTTTCAGGGTGTACTCTGAACTCTAAACCCTAAAACCCCTAAGCCTCTAAAACCCCTGACCTCTAATCCAAACCTCTAAAACCCTAAACCCCAGGCCCAAGTTTCAGGCTTTCAGGGCGAATTGTGGCTTCCCCGGAACTTCCGGGAGCTCGGGTTTACATTGGAGCCGTGACCATCCTGACAACAGGGTCCTGAGAAGCCCCTGGAGCCTTGGAGCTGCATAAGTCCGAGCGGCCTTTAAAGGGGACCATGTTATAACTGTTGTAGAAATCTACCGTGTCCTTTAAAGGGGACCCTCTTAGGGGACCCTATTGCAGAACCCGACAGTGTCTGTTAAAGGTGACATCTTCCTGGGCTTCTTCATGGTGTAGCCTGGCGAAAGCTTGGGAGCTGATTGCTGTGAGTCTGTGCGGGATTCTGCGGGAGGTCTGCATCGGAGTGGAGGGGCTTGGCTGCTTCCCAGGCCAGACAACGCCCTCTGGAACTACAACTTCATGGGCCAGAAGCACAATCCGACGATGAAGTACAGTCTGACCGTCCGGGGCCCAAAAAAAGGCGCCTTCAGCCGCAAGCACCGCACCTCACCTCCCGACTCCCGAGGTCGAGAACCCCCGTGAGTACTACCACGAGTGCCACAGGCGGCAGCTCTTTGCATTTTTGGGGGCTCCCGCAGGCTTCAGAGGGAGCCAGGACGGTGCACGGACGGTGTGAGAGTGTCAGAGATACAAAGAGCGGGATCTCGATTATGAGGACTCTCCCCAAAAAGGATTGCTGATTGTCAAGGGAAACCGATGTGCAGGCCAGCCCACTTCCTGAACTTCACGCAGCAGGAGGAGGTTGCTAGGTGGCACTTTGGGAAACTCTAAAAACTTCTCTGTGCTTCAAACAGAGGTACTCATTTATAAATACTTTCAAGGGCCCCCAAAACCCAAAACCCTAAACCCTAAGCCCCAAAGCTACAACCCAGGTTGGCAATGAGGGAGCAGACCACGAGGCCGGTACGTCTCTCTGTCGCTGTCTGCCTCTGCCTTTGCATGGATTGTTGATGTCATCTGTGTACACCTCTACATCCTAGCTATTTTTCCTATATGTCCTGTCTATACTACCTGTCCTATCTATCGTTTCTATCTTATCTGCGCACCCTTTCTATCTAAAGCTATATCGAAACATGTATCTATCTACCTATCTATCTGTCTGTCTACCTATCCACCCACCTATCCACTCAACCTGTCCAGCTCTCTACCCACGGTTACCTACCTCTCTATCTGGGTCAAAGCAAAGGAAGATGCACGAAGACATGTGCATGCGCATGTTCAAGAATTGCTATTCGTATAGCACATCAATAGCAGACTCAGGTGAGTGTGCCTTAGGTATAGATATGGATGTGGATATAGGTATAGATGCATATAGAGATAGAGATAGAGATACAGATGGAGATAGAGATGAAGATAGAGATAGAGCCGGAGACCGAGATGGAGATGGAGACGGAGACAGAGCAAGAGCTAGAGCCAAAGATGGAGATAGAGATCAAGATGGAGATGGAAATAGAGATGGAAATGGAGACAGAGATAGATGCAGATGTAGTGGGGACATGGACATAGAGATAGATAGCTTAGATATAGATAGGTATAAAGATAAGATAGATAAGACAAGTAAGGCCTATCGCATGGCATAGATAGATCGATAGCTGATCGAAAGACAGAGGTTGGCCGGTCGATCGGTCGATCGATGGATAGATAGACAGAAGGATGCCTGCCTGCCTGCCTCATGCCTGCCTGTGTCCACCTCGCCTGGCTGCTACCTATATACTTTCCTACCTACCTACCTACCTGCCTGCCTGCCTGCCTGCCTGCCTACCTACCTACCTCCCTCCCTCCCTCCCTCCCTCCCTCCCTCCCTCCCTCCCTCTACCTACCTACCTACCTACCTACCTACCTACCTACCTACTTTCCTGCCTTCCTTCTGCCTACCTACCTACCTACCTACCTACCTACCTACCTACCTGCTACCTACCTACCTACCTACCTACCCACCTACCTACCTACCTACCTACCTACCTACCTACCTACCTACCTACCCAGCGACCGAACCCCATACACAGCAGCAGGACAGGACGTACAACGACACATGCATACGTACATAACATACATACCTGCATGCATACGTACAGCTAACCTACCTGGATCTAACTCTGGGCTCTGGGCAAAGCCAGCGACACAAGCTGCAACTACACAAATGCTTCGCGCATTTATGGTACATTCCGACACGAGACGCTTAAGGTGCGGCGCTTCGCTCCGCACTGTCCAGCTGCATGCATACATAAATACATAGGTACATAGAGTGACGCAGCTGGCAGTTGTGATGTCGTCCCCTCCGCGGCAGGACCACTTTGTATGAGCTCTGAGCCCGTTGCAGCACCCTCCACGAAGAGGATGCAGCAGACAACTTTTGTACATGTTCATTGAAAGCTTCTTAGACCCGACAACTACTCAAGATGGCTACCCAAACCGCACCTTAAATCGAAACTACTCAGAGCCAGGGAAGCGAAGGAAGCTAAGAGTTGACTCTGGCAGTTCTTGACCTGGAAGGGTCGCCTGCTTCCGAGCCATTTTGCTCCGAGCTGGTTCCCTGCTTGTCGACCGTCCCATGAAGTGTCCTAAAGGCAGCTCGCAAGTTACTGACGGCCAGCATGGGACCGTGCCTTGAAGGACTGTTGCCGCGTGAGCTTGCAGTCCCTGAGAGCCCTTCGTATGACCCGCAAAAAGAGGATCCCGAGCAGAGCGTCTGAGCTTCCGCCTGTGCGTGGGCTTAGAATGGAGCTGAGCAAACCCAGGCCCGGGTGCCTTTTTGGCTCAAAGGCACTTGAGCAAAGGGGAGGGAAGGGCCACTTCTGCCAGAGTAGTGTTTGGTTGCTTTGGTGCACGGGCATGCGACTGGCAGTGGGATAGAACAGTGCCGCCATAGCGTGGTGGACATGGACGGTACAGCCAGGGCCTCAAGCTACGAACAGGTAGCAGCCAGATTTGCTGAGTCGAATCCTGTGGTTTCTAGGTCAGGATACCTGCTGCTGACAACCCTGAGGACAAGGCATGCTGCAATTTGCCCTTGAATGCCCATGAAAGCATGAGTTGGAGTGGGATCCTTACAGCGGCTCCGCTTGCCCAGGAGCTCATGGAGACAGTGAACTCCAATAACTTTCGAGAGCTCTTCAGCAGTAAGACCAACTGGTTCGTGGATGACACCAACGTGTACCGGGTGAAGATCCACAAAGCCGTCGACGGAAGCCTGAAGACCGAGACAATAAACGGAGCGATCTTCTTCTTCAACCCGCGAACAGGACCGGGACTCTAGAGGGCCTCAGAGCGATGTTCGGACGAATCTCCCCAAACTTGGCCTGCAGCACTTGATCTATCCTGCCCTCCACTAAACTGCGACTATTGAAACATCCTTTTCAGTTCCTGTACCAGGACAGCTCTTCCTGAAGATCATCCCTGCTTCCGCCTGGGCTGGTCATGAGCGTCTTCCACAGCTGGCAAAGCAGAAGACAGCCGAGGAGGTGCTGCTCCTCCTTCTGCTGCTGCCGCTGCTACTGCACTGCTATGGGCAGATCTGAGCAGTGGGAACTGAATACTCACTCCAAACCAGTCGCCGCTACTTTAGAATCAGATTCGTGAAGAAGCAGGAAACGAACCAGGAGCCCAACACAAGAACAGCGCGAACAAGAAGTTCTCAAGAAGCTTCCCCCCGCTATATTCCACAAGTCCCTCTCCCTAAACCCTAAACCATAAACCCCTAAACCCCTAAACCCTAAACCCTTAAACCCTTAAACCCTTAAACCCTTAAACCCTTAAACCAGGTCGCCGCATTCATCCGCTCCATGCCGGCGGAAGAGCAGCCGACGCAGCTCATCGCCATGCGGAGGGGCATGTTGGATGCTTTGCAGGTGTCCCACCAAGGGGCCTGTTGAGATCCATCTGTAGAGGTGGCTTAGGGTGTCAAAACGGTTTAGATGTTGTAGCTAGAATTTGGGGGCCCAGAGCTCTTAATGAGAGTCGTAGTTTGCTCGAAAAACCTGGATCCTCGAGTCGATGTCAGGTGCAGCTTGCGGATTTCCCGAAGATCGTGATCAAGCGCTCCGAGCTTTCGCTGCGCTTCCAGGCGAAGGGTTGAAAGACGATGTTCGATTGCGCACTCTTGGGGCATGAAAGCCTTTGCGGCTTTGGCGGCACCGGTTTTTAAACACAGCTGCTAGGCCTGCCTCAGAATCGAGACGTTCTGCGATGTGATCTCGAAGGCGACCGAGCCCGAGGTGGTGCTCTTCAACCTCTACGATGACTGGCTGAAGTCGATTTCCTCATACACGGCCTTCAGTGACCTGCTTCCCAATGGCCGATGCATCGAGACATGTGGTCTTGCATGTGGCTGTTCTCACGGCTTGCTGAGGTCGCATGGTCTTGATCTTGGGTGCACTGTACATCGACCTGGATCGCACGCAGGCCATCCTGCAGCCTGACAAGACGACGGCCACACGGCTGCAACTTTTTTAAGGCCAGTCTTTGGCAACTGGAGGCGTCTGAAGAGGCCAGCGTCAACAGGCTGCACTCCGGAACCTGGAATTTGAGAACCAGACCTGTGTGATTTTGCGAAAGTCATGCAAGGTCTGTGGCACTCGGAAAGCTCTCTTTGAGCCGACCCGAACTTGAGGTCGCGCGGCCAGGCCAGGTGTGGCCGAGTCACACCGACGGTGAGTGGATCAAGATTGAGGTGCTGCTCAAGGACTTGATCCTGGCAGACTACTGCCCCTCAACTCTTGGAATAACCTCTGACACAGACTGTTCCAAAAGCTGAGCCACCTCTAAATCTCTAAACGCCCAGGCAAGAAGAACAACGTCGACGTGGCTTCGCTTACCCCGGATGAGATTCGCGACATCATCCTCGGAATGCAGACCACATCCATCCAGCGAGCCCTGGTCGCAGGAAAATCGTTCCGACTCGCTCCATAATTCATCAGTAGAGTTAAGACTAAGAAATCATAGGCAGGACCCCGGTATAGTTTCAGGAGTACTCCATATGGCTTCCTGCCTGAAGGGTCTGAGATCCATATGCAAGAGAATTTCTCAGCCTCCCTGCGACTCTGCGCAGGCTCCCTCGACGAGCAAGGAACTACTCCGAGCCCGGGAAGCGAAGGAGGCTAAGAGTGGACTCCGGCAGTTCTTGACCTGGAAGGGTCGCCTGCTTCCGAGCCAGTTTGCTCCGGCTTGTCGTCCACGAAGCATCCTCGAGCAGCGCCGTGCCTGCCAGTACGGCCAGCCAGGGACCGTGCGCTGGAGAATAACGACCTCGCAGAAGAAAGGTGCCACATCGAGTTTCTGAGCTTCCGACTGTGTGTGTGAGATTGAGCTGTGCGAGCCTGGGCCGCGGTGCCTTGTCTTGGCTGAAGCGCTGCTTGAGCCAAGTGGAGGCTTGTACAGGATATTGGATTGGATGGGTCAATTCTCGCAGATTCTAGCAGCTAGCATCTTCCGGCAGAGTAGTGTTTGTCGTTTCAGCACAGGGTCATAAACAGACTCCGAGGGCGGATGGCAGTGGGATAGAGCCGGGCCAAAATAGTGCGGATGGATATGCATGGCACAGCCAGGCCCTCAAGCTACAGACGAGGAGCAGAGGTCTGTACAGATTTATCGTCGGATCCTGCGTTCCAAGGTCAGCATACCTGCTTCGGATAACCCGGAGGACAAGCAAAGCATCAGACTGCTTCAGTTTTCGCTCGAATGCCTGCGAATGGAGGAATCGGAGTGGATGCTTACATCTAGCGGCTCCATAGGAACACCACCTTGCCCAGGAGGTTACGGAGGCAGTGACTGCGCTGGTGCGCCGGAGTCTACACCAGGAGGATGAAGAGTTGATCCCCTTTCAGTTGTCATGAAAGCGGGACACGCTTGTAATCATTGATCGGTGTCAACGTACTGCAGTCTTCAAGTTCTGAAGTCGCATGCATGGACACCCTGCAAGAAAAGCAGCCAAAGACTCATGTTGAAATGGACACCACTCAGATAAGCGGCAGCCATGCACCTGAGCCGGGCAAAAGCACGCAAGAAGGGAAGACTTAGGAGGCGCTCCCGAAGCGGTGTTCGTACCATAAATCCAAAGGAATCCCTAATCGAAGAGATAGCCGGAGTAGGAAAGGATTCTGCCCGCCATGGGCAGCGTGGTCGAGGATGCTCTCGTTACAGAGGCAGACATCACAGATGATGTGCCTACCAGCTCGCGTCAGCTGAGCTCTTGGCTGCGGCGCACGCGGCAAAACAAGATCCGGAAGGTGGTTCGTGAAGTTTACCTGAGGGACGACATCGTTCCGGAGCCCTTCGAGGGAGCAGATCAGGTGCTGGTTCTGGACACCAACATCGTATTGCATCAGATCGATCTCATCGCTGAGGATGAGTGTGTGAACCATGTGGTGGTTCCATACACCGTTCTGCAGGAGGTCAGGCACAGAAACATGGGAATCTATGCCCGACTTCGAGCTCTGTGTCGCGTCGAGACAGGTGATGCGAAGCAAGACCAAGCGGTCGAAGCCGAGCTGAACGAAGAACCCGCACCTCCCAGCAACGCGAGGAGAGGAGTTGGAGATCGCGAGAAGGCCAAGGAGATGGCCTCGGCAAGAAATGCGCGTCAGTTCTACGTGTTTCCCAACGAGTTCTTCCGGGAAACCTATGTGGAACGCGCTCCGCAGGAATCTCAGAATGACAGAAACGATCGAGCGATCCGTCGTGTGGCCCACTGGTACCGGCGGCACATCGTCGGTCCTGAGGTCCTTCTGCTTACCGATGATCGGGCCTGCAAAGCCAAAGCCGTCTCAGATGGCCTCGTGGCCTTTCGGGCAGCTGAGTTTGTGGAGAGGATGCGCGGGAAGTTCCCGGAAGCCGGCGAGAAGTTAGCCCTTCGAGATGACGAGGACGAGGGCCCGGCGCCTGCTGCCGCGGCGGCCGCTGCCCAGGGCCGGGGCGTGAAGCGCAGCAGGGAGCCCTTGGTCAAGTCCACAGATGGCTCGGTGTACCCGGCCCATTTGAAGGCCAGCGAGGTCGAGCGGGGCTTAAAGGAGAGGCGCCTCTTTCAAGGCGTCTTGCGCATGCACATGAACACCTGCATGCACGGCACGGTGACTTGCGGTGGAACGGAAGAGATGGAGGTCTCGGGTCGGCTGGCGCTCAACCGGGCCATTGACGGTGATGTCGTCGTGGTCGAAAAAGTGGAGAGCGCCGAAGTGCTGGAGCGAGCTGACAAGCGCCTCCGCTTGGAGGTCGCAGACCCCGACTTTGGAGTCTCGGGCTCCGCCCCCTCTGCAGCAGACGAGATCAAGGAGATGCAAGCGCAGAAGGCCCAAGAAACGGGGCCCCAAACGTCCTCAGATCGGCCCAAGGGCCGGGTGGTGGGGATCCTGAAGCGCAACTGGCGCGAGTACTGCGGCACCTTGAGGCCCCTGCATGCCGAGAGGCAGCAGGAGCATGGGCCGGGTACCTACAACAAGTCCGATCGCGTGTTCATCCCAGCCGATGCAAGGCTGCCCAATATCATGATTCAGACCCGGCACTCGGTGAATTTGGACAACAAGCGCATCGTTGTCGTGCTGGATGGCTGGGACCGATTCAGCCATCATCCGTCGGGACACTGGACCAAGATTCTGGGAGACGTAGGGGACAGATCCGTCGAGAGCATGGTGATCCTCCACGAGCCCGGGCCTTGGAAATCTCAATATGTAGGCACGAACCTCCAGAATACACATCAGAACAGCAGCTAAAACGGCAACGGCAGCAGCAACAAGATCAAACCGAGCAGCGCCGCTTCTTGCACGAACACCCGCAACGAAAGGATGAACAGAACCCCTCTAGCGACGACGGCGAAACACAACCGTGACAGCGATGGAACTGGTGCTGGTAGAAGAGATTACTGAACGGATGACTGTGGGTACTTCTAAGCACAGCGGATGAGACCATTGAGTGGCAGTGCCGAAAATTATGCGAAGCTAGACGTTGATGGTCTTGATGCTGGTGATAGTTACACCGAGAATACAGTAGTTTTGAGAGTATTAGTTCGTTTACATCATGGCACTAGCGTTCGGAAGTAAACACAGTAAAGATCGGCTGATAGCATGATGTGGATTGTAAGGTAAACGACAACGGTACTGGTGACCAGATTTGTAACCAGTTTGGCTTGCAGGAAGGATAACCAAACCGAACAAGACCAAGTCCCGACACGTCATCTGCAACGCACGTCCCAGATAGCTACATGTAGGTCTGAAGCGGGACGACTGAACTGCCGTGCTGTAGGGTTTTGAAGACAACTGAGCTCTGCTTTACGCCGCTTGAACAACCCTTTCACCAGACAGCTAACGACCCAATTCCGGGTTCAGGAATCTTGGCTTCCCCGACCCTGGACCCCAACCGCTCAATCCCAAACCCCTAGTCCCTAAACCCTCCTTGTAAGGAGCTCGAAGGAAAAGGCCCTCGTCCAACATGCTTGTACCAGGCGGTCTGAAAAGTGCCGAAATCACCAAACCCCTAAACTCCAATACCCCTAACCCTAAAATCCCCAAAATCCCCAGACCCTGAACGCTGACCCTTATAGATCCCTTTCAAGGAGCCCTAAAAACCCCTAAAACAACCTTCAGCCCTCATCCCAGGCATGGCGTCATTACCCGTGAGTTCAGCGAAGCGGTGTACCGCTGCCTCCCCGCCGCGGACTGGCAACCGGGCCCCGAGGATCTGAAAGGCCGACCCCCGGCCGGATGGATGGGTTTAGGAGTTTAGGGTTTAGCGTAAGTTTAGGGTTTAGGGGTGAGGGTTTAAGGTATAGGGTTTACATAGGGTTTAGAGTAAGTTTGGGGTTTAGGGTTTAGAGTAAGTTTGGGGTTTAGGGTTTAAAGTAAGTTTGGGGTTTAGGGCTGAGGGTTTAAGGTTTAGGGCTTAGGGATGTTACTATGTAAAGAATGGGGGTTAGAAGGGTTTCTATAGGGCTGAAGGGGTTCTGTGAGAGAGGCAGAGTTTTGGGGTTTAGCGGCTTAGAGAGAGACTGTAGAGAGGATTTTGGGGCGCAGGCTTGGCGGCTGGCAGACTTTAGGGTCAAGGGAGAGGGCTTTATGGCATGGTTGGACGGCCTTGGATCTGGGATTTTTGGGATTCAGGCAACTTTGGGGCAGAGGTGGTTTTCGGATCCTTTGGGCCCAAGCGGTGTACAGACATGGAGCATGCGTGAGGGATTAACCATCATGAGCCAGAAGCCCGTGACCGTCGAGTAGGTCGGAAGCGGTCGAACCGGCAAGAGTTCACAGCTTTGTGCATGTAAACGTCGAATTCCTGTTTAAGTGCACAGCATCATCGCTGTGGGAGCTTTCGACTTAGGGACGTAACTATAGATGCTTCAAGCTGTGGCATCAGCGTATGAGCAAGCCGAGGAGAAGATCTTCGAGGCATCTGTGTCTGCTCCGTGGACCCTCCCGGTTGCGTCTCGGCTGGCCGCTTTCAGGGTTGCTACCGGGCTTCCGAAAAGGGTTCCTCTAACGAGTGAAAATTTCTAGCCAGAGACATGTCGCCCCAGGCAAAGACATCGATGATGCCGTATCTTGCGAACCTTTGCCAAACGGCAACTACCGTGCCCGTCTCTCAGACAGTTTGAGCTCGATTTTGAGCTCAGTGTATCCTGCCTGCATGTTTCCAAAGCTGCAGCTATCCGACGTCGCGCAGGTTGGGGTCCACATCGCGGATGTCACACATTTCGTGCACCCCGGAACGGCAATCGACAACGAGGCGGCAGAGAGGTGCACCACAGCTTCTTTGCTGTTCTCTTAAGCCAGACTGCGCCCGACTATGCTAAACACAGTGGACTTGGAGATCGACCTGCCAACCCAGGTTTACCTCGTGGAACGACGCACGGATATGCTGCCAGGCCGTCGGAGTGCTCGCTGACGGGGCGATGCTTCATGTAGGATACGGGGCCCCGTTCAGGCTTGCTTACCACAGACATCTGCTCTCTGCGGGCCCAGGCAAGGGGTTCCTGTTTCTCAAAACTGCCTTGCTCAGCTTGACGACCTGCTTCTGCCGCACCCAAGGTGGAGCGCCTGACTTTCTCTGTTCTCTGGGAGATGACACCAGAAGCAGAAGTCGTCGACACCAAGTTCTGCAAGGCCTTTGCTGCTTTTCTGCCTGCTTTCTGTGCGGTTTAGCGCTTGAGAGTCTTGAGGCTAAAGACTTCAGAGCTTTGGATTAAGTTGTTATTAGTATTTGCGGATGGGGTTGGGCGGTGGCATCTGTACCCCAAAGACCCAACCATCCCTAACTCCTTCAAATTTCTGTTGCACTAAACCGTTCTCAGCCCGAACATCAAGCTCTGAGACGTCGTGGTGCATGACGAAGTGTACATCCTAAGGGTTTGGGCTTGGGGGGTTTGGGGCTGAGCGATTTCACCTTCCATTCTGGCTTCCGGGTATGTTCATGGGACGATCGCCTGCCCCGGGGCTTCTTGCGGCCTTGGGAAGGCTTTGGGGCTTTCGTGAGCTTTTGCGCCGAGGTTCTGGGTTGAGCACCTAGGGTTTAGTGCCAGGGCCCTTCGAGACAAGCCGAAGCCCAAAAACCCTAGACCCTATACCCCCCAAAAGCTGGGAGAAAAGGAGTCCAAAGAAAACAAGCCGAAGCTCCAAAAAAAAGAAAGGGCACTAAACCCTAAACCCTATACCCCAAGCTTTCTGCAGGGACGAAAAGGGGTCTCAAGAGCACAAAAAAATGCCCCAAGCTCTTATGAAAAAAGCTTACCCTAAACCCTAAACTTGCCCTGAACCCTAAACCCTAAGCCCTAAACCCCTTGGGCAGGCCATCATCAAGTCCCGGGCGGCCCTCTCCTACGCAGAGGCGCAGGGGCGGATCGACGACCCCAAGGCTCTGGGGCTGGGAGGGTTGGCGCCTAGGGTTTTTTTTGGGGTTTTCGGGTCTATGTTTCATCCTAGTAAACTTTGAGTTCTGGGGTTGAATTGGGGTTTAGCATTTTTGGGTTTGGACTTTTCGGCACCTAAGATTCCATGTCCTCCTTTTTTTCATATGTCACCCTTCCGGTTTTTACCTTGCAACTTGAGTTCACCAGGCAAAACGGATCTCCCAACCCTACACCTACACCCTAAACCTAAACCCTAAACCCTGAACCCGAAACCCTAAACCCTAAACCCTAAACCGCGAAGAGCAGAACAGAAGCTCCAAGGGCGGAGCCTTGAGAGCTTCCATTCTGAGGAATGGCGGGGGGCCTTTTTCGTTATAAAAATAGGGGTTTAGGGGCCAAAGGTGAGCACACCGAGGGCCGTTTGGAGGGTTGAGGGTTTCGGGTTTAGGGTCATAGTTTTTTTTTGGGAGGTTTCGGGCTCAGGCTTCAAATGCTTGGAGCTATCCTTGCAGGATTATTCCTTCTTCGATCCCTCCCCAAAGCCCTCTTTCCGACCCGAAACCCAAGACGTGCTTTTTCTGTGCCAACGACTGGCCTTCCTGGAGACCCTATCGTGTCCTGATGCCGAGAAGTAAGAGGCCCTTCCTGACAACATTCCCAACATGGCCCAGACAGATTGAAATTGAATCACTTATGCTTCGCAACTGCTTGGATGTTCGGGGCAGAGTCTGATAGGCACAGATCCGTGATGAAGGCTCTCTTTGCTATCCAAGCCTCGCTTACCCTGTGCAGGACAACTCGGAGATCACCAGGATCCTCAGGAGCTTCCCTCGATTTCCGTCTCGATTTCTTAGCTTCGGAGTGCGCAATCCTCGAGAATCCCCAGGGACCCAAGTCCCGAAACCTCCCCCGAGCCGCAAAGCCCAACATCAAGGCCTGAACTCCTAAACTCCCCAAACCCCATCACCCTAAAACCCTCAATCCAAGACCCTAAACTCCCCGTTCTGATTAGCAATTCCATCGGTAGTCCGACAGTCTATGCCGCCCTGTTGAGCATCTTGGCGTGCTTCTCGCTTGGATGGTCCGCGGACGTCTTGCCTAAACTCCTTAAAACCCTAAAACCCTAAACCCTAAAAGCCCTAAAAAAAACCTAAACCCCTAAACTCTAAACCGCTAAACCCTAAAAGGCCCTAAAACCCTAAAACCCCTAAAAACCCAACAAACCCTAAAACCCTAAACCCCCCACAGCTTTTCCAGGACGCTGCTGAAGCTCACGCGCCAGATCCGGGCCCGGCGGGTGGAGAACGGGGCCCTGGAGTTGGCCTCCCAGGAGGCGGAGAGAAAACAAGAATGTTTTAAGGGTTTTTAGGGTTTTTAAGGGTTTTTAAGGGTTTTTAAGGTTTTTTTTATTTTTTTTTATTTTTAAAGGGTTTTAGGGTTTTTTAGGGTTTTGAGGGTTTGAGGGTTTTTAGGGTTTTGAAGGGTCTTTTCGGGTTTTTAGGGTTTTTAGGGTTTTTAGGGTTTTAGCGTTTAGGGTTTAATTGGGGTTTAAGGTTTAGGGTTTAGGGCAATATGAATGTATAGTAGGCGGAGACAAAACCATAACGATAGCAATGTTCGTTAATAATAATGTTGGTAACAGCAACAATAATGATAGCAATGTTCATTATAGTAATAATCATGATAGCAGTATGAACAACAGTAGTAGTAGTAGTAGTAGTAGTAGTAGTAGTAGTAGTAGTAGCAGTAGCAGTAGTAGTAGTAGCAGTAACGACAAGAATAGTAATAGTAGTAATAATAGTATGAATACTAATTCTAATATCATGATAATTATAGGGCATCCAAGGCGAGTTGAAGACTGCCTTTGGAGTTTTTTTGGGGATTCTATGGGGTTTCGGGTGCAGTCTAGGGTTTAGTGGTTTAGGTTTAGGGGAGGGGGGTGTAGGGGTTTTAGGAATTGACTTGAGGGTCAGAGGTTTCTGGGTCAGGATTCGGAATGAGTTTGTGGCCTGGCATGAAGCCAAAGAGAGTTGGGGCTCAGGGAAATTGCTGAAGTCGTTTTGTTTTCATAGGGTTAATACGGGGTGACTAGAAGAGACTTTCGTCATCAGCATTAAAGGGCGCGATTTCGGAGTTTGGCAAAATTCGAACGGGAGCCTGCGGGAAGAGTACCGTTCTTCCAGTGCCGCTCGACCCAGACCCTTCTATGTGTGCCGACTGCGCCTCGGTTTAGGGTTTGGGGTTTGGGGTTTAGGGTTTGGGGTTTAGAGAGCTTTTCCACAGAGCACGGTCTGCTCACAGGTGCGCTTTGAGCTGGACAGCGAGACGCAGGATCTGCGGGTAGGAGAAAGGCAGCCGTAAACCCTAAGAGCGCGGAGTAGGAAGTGGTCCTGTCAAGGATCCCACGGATGTCGCAGAGTACCAGCAGCGCGAGACCAACAAGCTGATTGAGGACTGTCAGACTGCTGTCATAGTACCATCAGCTAAGATAATGGTATTGGTAAGCAACAGCAGGACCAAGCATGCTTTTCAGATTGTTGTATGGGGACTGACAACCATCTTGATAGGATTATGGTTCCTTTCTACTGGTATGTCAAAAGCGAGATTCATTTAACGGGAAAAGGCAGTGTTTCCGGTGACGTGGGATGTCTTCTTGTTCCATGTGCAAGCTAGCTAGATGATCGAGGCTGGACTTGAATGTCGGTACCTGTCTCAAGCTGCGTGAAGGGAGCACGGGAGCGAAGAAATGTGGTACGCTGCGAAAGCATACAGATTAGGGCTGCAACACGAATGAGACGGAAGGAGCTGCAAGTCTTTTGGAAAAACGCCCTTGATAGGAGCAGTTCCGTAGGTTTGAGCAAGGAGGGCGCAGTGGTCGCCCTGATCTTTTGCCCATGGAGGCCCTTCATTCTGCACTGAAGCAGGGTGCCATACATGTCGGTGTTGTGCTCTTTGATGACTACGAGATGTTGGACGTTTATGGCCCTTTAGAGCTGCTGGCAGGCTGTTCGGTTCTCCCAAGCGGACCATCCCGTGGTAAGGTGAAGCTGTCCTTCGTTTCTTCAGAAACCTCCGGAGCTGTGAGGCCAAAGGACGGACCCTTGACCCTGACGGACATGAACATCAATGAGACTGACTGCAAGTTCGACGTGCTCTTTATTCCAGGCGGCATGGGCACCCGCAGGTTATCAAAGAACGCCGAGTTTCTTGCGAAGCTCGGAAGGCTTTCAGAGAAGGCCTCTCTTGTCATGACGGTCTGCACGGGCTCCCTACTTCTGGCGGCCACCGGGCTTCTGGACGGCAAGTCGGCCACGACCAACAAGATGGCCTTTGAGGAGATCCAGAGATCGCATCCCAAGGTGGAGTGGAAGAGGTCGGCGCGCTGGTGCGTGGACGGCAAGTTTTACACCTCCTCCGGAGTCGCTGCAGGCATTGATCTCACGCACTTCTTCGTAGAAGAGCTCTTCGGCGCTAAAGTTGCAAAGCAGACCAGCAAGCTGGCGGAGTACGTGCACCAAAGCGATCCCGAGAACGACCCCTTCACCAGTGTGGCGCCCTCCACGCCCCAAAGCAACCCCTTCGGCCGAACGCTCTCCCTGGTCCTGGTGGTCTACGACCAGCCGCTCGCCTCATTCCAAGACTTCTTAAGCCCTCGAAATTCCAGAAAGCACCCCCCCATGAAGTCTCCCTTGAGTAAGGTTTGAGATGCTGGACACCTTTGGGCCCCTGGAGATGTTCGCCATGACCAACAAGATCCTGGAGGCGGCGGGCCAGGTCCCCGCCTTCAAGCTGACCCTGGTCTCCGAGGACAAGAGGACCTCCTCCTTCGGGGGCCCGGTCTTCGAGTCGGATGTGGTTGGGGCCTCAGCACGCCGCCAAGGCCTCCCTGAGTTGTTCTTTCCTTTGTCTTGCTTTGTTTTAGAGTTTCCGAGGTGGTCAGCAAAGGCGCGTCCTCCGAGCTGAGCTTCGAGGGCCCGCTTCCGGAGGAGATCGACTTGCTCCTCCTGCCGGGGGGCATCGGAACGCTGCGGGAGGTCCACAACCCGCTCTTCCAGAAGGCCATCACGCACTTGGTGGGAAAATCGCAGCGGGTCATGACCGTGTGCACGGGCAGCGCCATCCTGGCCTCGCAGGGCTTGCTGGACGGCATCAAGGCCACCACGAACAAAATCGCCTTCGACCTCATGGCTCGATTCGGGCCATCGGCCCGCTGGGTGCCGGAGGCGCGTTGGGTCGCGGACGGGAAGTTTTGGACCTCCAGCGGGGTCTCGGCAGGCACGGACCTGTCTCTGGCAATCATTCGGGAGCTGTTGGGGCGAGAGACGGCTATACAGGCCGCAACTCGAGCAGAATACCTGTGGCAACCCGATGACGATGGCAGCCGCGATCCATTCACGGGGTGCATCCCAAAGCAGACCTTTGGTCAACGACTGTTGACGGGCGTACAGAAGGCTGTGATGCAATTCGTTTTCTGTTTTGGCTTTGCGCTGGGCTGCAAGATGCAGATTACCCGCAGTCTCATTTAATTTGAGCATCGTTTAGACCCGCTGATCGCTTAAAAGAGTTCGTTGTTCGGTTCGTGCACAGCAAGAAGTCCATCGCGACTGGGTGAGCTTGAACATGTCACGACCACGTCCGCAAACGTAAAGCTTCAGGAGCTCATGCTGTTGGGAAACCAGGCTGGGGCAACATGGGGATTGGGCACATTTGATCTCCGGCAAGCGGCCGGATGAGCCTCAGACGTCGTGACCCCCCCACCCCCACGCAGCCACTTCTCCTTGGCCGTAAGGCGGTGGCGACCAAGATCCTGAACAGCTTCCCCATGTTCGGAGTGCTTCGGAGGCATCCGCCGCCGAAGGCCCGAGGTTTCTTCCGTGCAGCGTAACGAGCTTTCGGGGATTCCTCGACTTGTTGACGTGTGTTCTTGGCTGCCTTTGTGTCAGGCGTTCATGTCTTGCCCTGCCTTACCCTTCATCATGAATGGGGCAGCGGTAACACCTGAGTCGTACAGTCATGCCAACTAGCTAGCTGGCACCAGTGTCATGATCCCACCATGATGACCACGGCCACCGCTGCCCTTGCCACTTCCTGCTGCAACTACCCGTGCTGCGAGGACGGCTGCACCAATACTATTGCTCGTGCTGCTATTCATCCATACTGATCTACTGATGTACATAGCACCGACATGCAGATGGGTTCTCCCAATCGAAATCGGCTACGGTCCTCTAGTTGTGCACAGCTTGGGCGGAGGATGACCAGCTGAAGGTCTTGCAGAGGCTGCTGGCAAAGAACGGCATTCACGACTTTAACTTCGGCAGTAACAAGGAGCCGGGGTTTTGGGAACTGTCTGGTTATTGCAGGATTGACTTTCGTCGTCCGACCCTAGGCCCTACAGGCCCTATAGGCCCCGAGGCTGTGCACTCTGAACGCTCAACCCGTGAACCCGTGAGCCTCAAGGAGCTCTCCGACTCACTGCAGAAGGCCGTGAAAGCCGAGGAGCCGTGCAGTCGTCTCAGTCTCGCCAGGTCCCACAGAAACCCTGCAGGCCTTGTCCTGGGCAGCAATATTCGATATATATATATATATACATACCTACATACCTACATACCTACATACCTACATACCTACATACCTACATACCTACATACGTACATACCAACATACCTGCATACCTGCATACCTGCATACCTGCATACCTGCATACCTGCATACCTGCATACCTGCATACATACATACATACATACATACATACATACTATTATGTTTTAAACACACGCACTCATGCATATGTTTATGATGTATTTATCCATATCTCGCTCTCTTTCTCTCTCTCTCTATATATGCTGTGTCGGTCCTTCATGCTTGTGATAGCAACCGGGGTGATAAAGGCACCTCCCGGGCCTGGCGGCAAAGGTCATATTTCCATTCGATGAAAATCTCTGGCGCGAATGCAAGCGGTCTTCGGAAGCATGATCTTCTTCGTTGCTTGTGAAGCCCGTCCCGAAAGCCTCCCAAACCCGAATCCTGAAGATGGATATGGTTGAATTACGACTTTATGACTATGACTATCATTCTCTGTCACTTCTCTTCTGGCAGTTCTTTGATTGCTACCAGTATGTTTCTTCCTGTCAAGCCAAAGTCTGGGAGCCGCAGTCCACGCCCAAGCCGAGACCCATGCACTCCTCCTTCATCCCTCTGTCCTCAACCCTAAACCCTAAACCCTCAACCCTAAACAGCCTAAACCCTAAAAGCCCTAAAGCCTTATCGGGGGCCTCTCTGCAGGATCCCTTCTTCAATACTTTGGTCCGAATCATGACGACCAGGCCGGGGCTCTGAAACCTTGGGCTTCTGCGCTTGGGGTCTGGACTTCGGCCCTCAACCGTGAGCCGGATTTCACGGTTGAGGCCTTAGGGTCGAAGCTCTGACTTAAGGAAGGGTCTTGAGCATGGCTCGGGACTGAAATTCCACGGCCCCCTTTTCAAGCACAGCCCGAAACGCGGCATCTGAAGCACTGGAATCGGAAACCCTGAAGCACTGGAGCACCCTAGATCCCCAAACACCCCCCCAAAGCCGAAGAGGGGCCGATAAAAACCCTATGAATCCTTACAGCCCCCCATAAATGCAAAAGAGACGCTTCTAAACTCGAAGACGAAGCGCAGGTGTATGAACCAGGCCGTCTATTTCTGCACGGGTGAAGTGCAGCCGGCGCTCTACAGCCACTACGGCCTGGCCATGGAGCGCCCTTGGGCACCGAAAGAACTCCGCGTCTCTTTGTTTTTTGGTGGGGGGTTGCTGTCTTGTGTTTTAGGTTTTGGGTTTTTGGGGGTTTTGGGGTGAGTCGGGGATACTGCTGCTTTGTTGGATTGAAGGTTGTGTGGGTCTTAGGGATGTTGGCATTGAGTTGCTGGCCTTTCTTCGTAGTTTCTGCGGCCCGGTGTGGTAAGAAGCTCGGAGCGCCATCTCAAACCACATCGCATCGTCCCTTCCCAAACCCTGCCCAGCACGTAGGCTACACGCACTTCACATCGCCGATCCGTCGCTACGCCGATGTCTTGGCGCATCGGTTGCTGGCCGCCTCCCTGGGACTGATACCCTTGCCGGAGCAGCTGCAGTCCAAGGCTTGACGTGGAATGTTTGGGGGTTTAGGGTTTAGGGTCAAGGTTTGAGGGATTGTGGTGCAGGCCACAATCTCCGAGCAGTGCGACAAGATCAACGCGGCGCCGCTGCAATGGTGAGGTTGGTTGCACATCGTTGCCTCTGCCCAGCATCTTCTGTTGTGCATCCCTGCAGCCGAGGTGAAGCATCGCATGTCGCAGTTTGCTAGCCGAGCGTCGGCGGACTTGCACACTTTCATGCTCCTCGCCCTGCAAGGAGAAGATCGTGTGCTCTTGATCCCTAAACCCTAAGCCCTACAGGGAGAGTGCGCAGAGAAGATAGTGTGTAAAGAGCAGCGCATCCCCGAGAATTGAGCAGAAGAGCTTGCCGAGGTTCTTCAACAAGAAGGCCCGGGTTCTGCGAAGATGAGTTCGGAGCTTGATTTAGAATGTTGGGGTTCAAACGTTGAGTTCGGAGCCTCAAAACTCTCAGTCCCGAAACCCCCGAAATCTGAGACTCTGGTTGCGATTCGGAGGCAGAATTGCTTGGCTCGGTCTCTGCTTCAGGGACAGTCATGCTTCCTGCTTCCCATCCCCACCCTTGATCCCTGAATATACCCACATCACGTGACCCAGCGCCTTCTTCACTACTCGCAAACTCGCTTGGCAGGGCCAGCAGTCCGCAGAGGCCGTGGTCACCCGAATACGTCGATCCGGGATGCAGGCCGCTCGAGCCCCGCCTGCTCGACACTTTGACGATCTTGAAAGGGAAGTGGCTACTTGTGCCTACACGAGGACATGACCGCGAAGACAGGACGTCTGTGGCAATTTCAATAACGTGACGTGATCACACGGAAAAGAAGGACAGCACACCGAGCTTTAGCTTGCACAAACTGAAGGTGTAGAGTGTGGTTGTTAGTGCTTCGATCCCAAGAGTATATGAGAGTGCAAGACGAGTAAGGGGCAGGAGATCCAGCATTCGCGTAAAAGTTATCGAGGCAGGAGCAAAGGCAGCCCAGTCGTAAGAACGAGAAGCGACACCAACGGCAGTAGCAAGACTTTTGGTACTAGCAGCTTAGCACCGAGCTCTGAATCCAATCGTAGTGGCAGGTGGCAGTAGTAGTAATGAGCATACTAGCAAGTATCGTAGGTTTTACAGTATGGTGGCAAACACGGTAATGGACACAGGCACAGAAAGGCCCGGTAAACGTCCCAGTATTACGGAAGGCAGCCGCATTGGTTATAGTTATAGTGGTAGGAGTCGTACTTAGAAATCCAAAACACAAAGTACAGCTAACACAAAGTCTTGAATTGCAGGTCAACGTGCCCCGTTACGGCATCGAAGGCGTTGTGGCTGTGTCGGAGGCATCTCCGAACTCTGCAATCGCATCTAGATGCAACCTTGAACCCGAAACTACCTAAGCTTTGTATGTAGCTAAACCCTAGGCCCTAGGCGATAGATTGTATCATATCGTAGCCTCTGCCAGCAGAGCCTGGATCTCAGACCCCGAAGGCCCCTTGCATCTGCGGAAGCGCTTTGCTCCGCCCGGTCACGTTACACCCTCGAGCCTGTAGCCTGCATCACGATGATGATAATGATGGTGACGACGATGATGATGATGATGACGATGATGATGATGATGTCAGAACCTTGGGGTTTAGAGGGGTTAGCATCGGAGTTGCACAGTCGCCACGTTTCAATCAGCACTTTGGGGGCTTTGGTGCCGAAGCACTGAGCTTCAGGAGGAGTGGGAGGTGCGTGAGGAGGAGCAGTGCATCCTGAGCAAGAGCCAGGCCGGGATCTAGAACTGGTTTTAGGGTCTGGGTTGGTGCGGAGAGCGTTTTCAGTGGTTCAGGCTTTAGAGGTTGATTGTCTGTTTGGGGTTGCGATCTGGAAGCCCTTGCGTAATCGAAGTTCTGAGCTTGTACCTCTCGAATCCCTTAGGGTTTTGCTGAGGGTGCTACGCGACGTGATGCACGGGACTCCTATGAGGATCCGGGCGGATGCTAAGTAAGCCTTCGCTCACCCCACGGGGTTAAGTCGGGAGGCCTTGTGCGCACCGAAAAAGGAGCGATTTAAAATAACGAAAGCCCCAAAACTTAAACCGGAAACCTTGAGACTCGAACCCAGTATCCGTTCGGCGTGAACGAAAGGCAGGTCTCCGGATTGACATCTTCGCACACATCAAGGCCGGGGGCGGGGGGGGTGTTCATCGTTTTCTGTGGTGGAGTACACGTTTTTTTCCAGCAGCTGGTAAGTTACATCTTTTGGGCGTCTGGGACTCCTGGCCCTGGGGAGGTCAACATCGAGTCCGACAACTCCGACTTCCGGAATCGCACTCACATCCGCTTCGACCGCGTCATCCTGGACTCTGAACGCATGGGACCCAGCAAAAGCCCCGAAGAAGTTGCACCCCAAGCGCTAGAACGTACACCGTAAGCCCCGAACCTCGCAACGTCAACCTTAAACCCCACACGCTGCCCGACGCCATATACGCGAGCCCTACACTCTCAACCCTCAGAATGTGCTGAAGCACTGCTTGCATCCCCAGGCGAGCAGTACGCGACTGTGGAGGCCGCGAGGAAGCAGGTCCAGGAAGAGATGTTCCCTGACTTGCGACTTGGGCAAGGGTTAATGCTGGCTGGCTTTCTGTCCGCGCGTTTGGTCCGGCTTTCGATGATGGAATCCAAGGATTGAGCGCGAGGCCAACTAAGCTCCTGGCGAAGGGAGAAAAGAGCTGTGACGCGAGAGGATGTTTGGCCTGATCAAGGTTCACAATCATGCCAGCAACTGACTGCTGCTGCTGCGGCTGGTTCAAGTACTACTACCACCACCACCGCCACCACCACCACCGCCACTACCGCTAC